GACGAATTCTCACTAGAACTTGAATCGGCAGAATTTGAAACTCATGAGCTATTATATCGGGTTCCAGTAGTTCAATGGCCTATAAGCTCACCTCGTAATCGGAAGGTCCTGGGTTCGAACGCCGGTGGGTGCGCATCAGTGAAGAGTACCAAACTGGGACGAAACAGCTTTCCAGTACTCACAGGTTTTCTAATGGTTCTTTGACAGAAGTCATCTCATGATCAATCCTGTAGACAATCACTTTTATCCATAAGTCATTTAGGTATTCTTTTTTTTCCTTCACGTTCCCCAGTGGAACATAGGGCTTCAAGCTAGTGGCTTGAAGTTTCTGCAGCAGTGTTCATTTTACAGGATGGGGTTGCTAGCCTTATGCCCAACCTTTTCTCTTAACCAGAATTATTTCTGGCTTAGTGAGGTAAAGGAGTGCGTCGGCCGGGGATCGAACCCCGTACTATTTGCATGGTCGGCGAGCGTCCTAACCGCTATGCCACCGACGCACATATTTATGTATTCATTCCCAGTGAATTACTTTTGAATTATATCTAAACCCTTTATTAATAAGTGTCAAATTTATTTGTGATATTCATTGCAAAATCAATAAAATTGATTCCATTGATGTCACCAATATCTATTGATTGAGTGTTTAATACAGCCACAAAGTTAAGGGATATGAAATAGTCTTCTACTCTATGATAATATAGTCATGTAATTCAACTTTCTAATGAATGTCTGCCTATCACCGGTAGATTCATCATCTAGCGCGACCACTAGCCAATGTCATCGCTAGCGAGTATTTGTCCTCATACTTGAGCTGCTGCACCCCACTGGTAAGACTTCTTACAAGAACCAAGGTAACTAACTGCATGAATAGGGCGAGTCACTAGTGAGCATCGGATTGATATTCAAGTGTTGGTTTGCAGGGATTTGATTTGATTGGTTACAGGATTTCAATCATCAGCTGACATCGGTTAGAGAATCACTGAAAACCAACATGGAGTACTGGACAACTGTTTCGTCCTAATTTTGGAACTCTTCAACAGTACGCACCCACCGCCTGAGCTCGAACTCAAAAATCTTCTGATCACAAGTCAAGCTCGTATGTCATTAAGCAACTGGGACACCAGCCAATGGCTCACGAATTCCAACTTCTGCCAATTCACAATGTATTTCGACCACAGCAGGTCGGGTGTGAGGACTAATACTGGTTACAGATGACATTGGCTAGTGGTCGCACCATATCGTGAACTGACAGAAGTTGGGATTCATGGACCACTGGATCGGGTTCCAGTGGCTTAATGGTCTTTGAGCTCGCTTTATGACCAGAAGGTCCTGGGTTCGGACCCTGGTGGTGGGTGCTTACTGCTGAAGTGTTCCAAACTAGGACGAAACAGCTCTCCAGTATTCCCTGTTGGTTTTCAGTGGTTCTGTAACCGATGTCGGCTCATAATTGAAATCCTGAAGCCAAATCCCTTCAAACCAATTCGTGAATATCAGTGTGATGCTCACTAGTCACTGGCCCTATTCACGTAGGTAGTTACCTGGCTTCTAGTAAGAAGTTGTGACCAGTGGGGTATGGAAGGTCGGATGTGTGGACAAGTACTTGCCACAGATGACATTGGATAGTGGTCGCGCTATTTGGTGAATCTACCTGTGATAGGCAGACATTCATTAGAAATTTGGATTACATGAGTATATTATGATAGAGTAGAAGACTATTTCATATCCCTCAACTTCGTGGTTGTTATAAACACATAGTCAAAGGATATTGATGACATCAATGGAATCATTTTAATTGATTTACAATGTCGGTTTTCAATGGTCCTTTACCTGATGTCAGCTCATGATGAAATCCTGTAACCAATCATATCAAACCCGTGAAAACCAACACTTGAATATCTCAGGTAAAATTCGGTCACAAAACTGCCGGACTCTGTATTTCATTTATTTCAATCCTTTTTATTCTAAGGTCAACACGGGGTTTCATGCTTGAGGTTTAAAGTTACAGTAGCGTTGATTTTGTTTTTATGGTATTGGACTGCCAGTTTCACACCCAACCTTCCCTCTTTACTGGATTTACTAACAACTAAGCGAAGTTTAGATGTTCGCCGATCGGGTTTTCCAGTCCTCTGTAATTTTGATATAAAAAGGTGTTGGAACTAAATCCATTGAAAGCCCTCAACGTTGAAAACTTGCCTTTTTGCAACTATCGGGGAAAGATATTTTATTCAAGTGTTGGTTTGTAGGGATTTGATTGGTTACAGGATTTTCATCATGAGCTGACACTAGTTAGAGAACCATTGGAAAACCTGGGAGTTCTAGACAGCTGTTTCGTCCTAGTTTGGGACTCTTCATCAGTACGCACCTACCGGCATACGAACCCAAGACCTTCTGGTTACAAGGCGAGCTCGTATACCATTAAGCCACTGGGACCCGATCCAATGGCCCATGAATTCCAACTTCTGCCAATTCATGACACAGCGCGACCCCTAGACAATGTCTTCGGCGAGTATTTGTCCTCACACCCGACCTGCTGCACCTGCTTTACAACTTGAAAAAATGTATGACCTTTTGAGTCATAAAGAACCTCCTGTGGGGTTGAACAACGGATCAAAACTGGCTGCTATTTAGAGAAGCGACTGTATTTGCTAGTCTTAAGACTTATCAGTCACATATGTAATATAGTCACTAAAGACGAAACGATAAAGCATAGTGGTAACATTCTATTCGAAATTAGGTGTTAGATATCAGAATAGGCAGAAAAAAAAATATGTTGTGATATTCAGCAATGTAAGTGAAACAGCATTATAGTGAAATGTGTTTATTGTCAATTACGCAATATCAGATAACACAGAATTTCTCACCTGGACAATTAGTTTTCGCTAATTCACCAACTCACTACCTATATTATATATATATATATATATATATATATATATATATATATATATATATATATATAATTGTTCGAGGTCAACAGCACTCAGCATCAAAAATAAGATCCACATTTTCAACTCCAATGTGAAGTCAGTGCTATATACGGATGAGAGACTTGGCCATTGCGTCATGAAGAGCATCTCAAACAAACTACAGACCTTCATCAACAGTTGTCTTCACTCAATACTCAAGATCAGATGGCCGGCCAGAAAAGATCAGCAACAGAAATCTCTGGCAATGAGCGAACCAACCCAGCAGGAACCAATTGTGTAACAAATAGGCAGGAAGAAATGGAGATGGATTGGCTGGCCATACTCTGAGGAAACAAACCATCAAGTGAGTGACATCACTAGACAAGCCATTGCTCGAGTGGAACCCGACAGAATGGGAAGCGGCGAGTTGGTCGTCAGTGCGAGGGTGACTTGGAGGAGGTCATGTGAAGAGGAGATGAAGGCGTGTGGACAGACTTGGAGCCAGGTGAAGACTCTAGCAGAGAACCGAACGCAATGGAGACGTGTGGCTGAAGCCCTATGTTCTTCTAGGAATTAAAGGAAATAATAGTATAATAATAATAATTGTCGCACGAAAAACATTCATTAATGTCTGAGATAATTTTAGTATTCAAGAATTACTTGGTAGGGACTTGATTTGCTTAAAGCTTGATCACCAACTGACACCAGTTGAAGACTACCGGACATCTGTTTCGTCCCAGTTTGGGACACTTCAGCAATACTGCCACACAACCCCAACGAGGGATCGAACTTAGCATACATTTGCTAGTAAATGCAGATTGAATTATATCAGAAACCATATTGGGGGATATAAGTACAAGTACAGAATAATACTTAGTTTTCAATCTCCTTTAAATGCACATATAATGTGTTTCGCCAATAAGCACCTATGAGATTAAATAAATTGCCTAACATGATAAGAAATAATAATAGTTTAGTTTAAACAAATTATAGTCACAATGAACAGTAATGAAATAATGTAGATATAAGATGAACCCAGTTTAAACCAAGAGGATCAGTATTATTCTTTTAGGTTCCATGTGGAGGATATGACTGCAGCAGCACATCTCCATTTCATCCTGTTCTCTGAAATCCTTTTTACCTGGCTTCACGATTGTCAACAAGCTTTCATCTCCTCCTCACACAACCCCTTTCCATATCAATATCGGAAACGAAACTTACCGTTTCTCACTCAGTTTCCACGTCTCGCCTAGTTAACCAATTCGTTTGAAACCGGAGCTGACAACCCCACCTCAGGCAATCAACACAATTGCTACAAAAAATTCAAAACCTTCGAGAAGTCAGTCAGTCAGTCGATGTGTCTTCTTTCGATGAAAGAAAGAATAACCACTGGAACATGGAATGTTGTCCGCTGTTCAAATTGTGAAAGAACTGGGCAAATATGGTATAGAAGGTATATAGGAATCTGCGAGAGCATATGAAATAGAAGTGGACTCTCCAAATTGTAAACTGGAGAGTTAATAAAATCTACACAATGCAGAAAATGACAAACACTTTCAACAACAGTAATGACAATATTGCTGGCAGATAGCAGATTCTTAAAGTGTAGAATGGTACAATAAGATATGAATATTTGTGTCTGTAAAATAATGGTGCAACTGAGAACCAACTGAGTGACTGATATAATCTGGTATTCAGGTGTTAATACACAATGTAAGCGTACACTTCAACTTCCCTGTATTGAATATTCCCGTCAACGTAAATTCGAAAGTGTCCATTACTAAATTACAAATAGGTAACTTTGTTTATCGATGCAAAAGTGGTTTCAGGGTAAAATGTTCCCCATCTCTGCCGGCGCACTCCGAAACCTTGGTTAGGCTGTAGCAAGCCCAGTAAAGAAGTAAGGTTTGGCATTTGGGCAACATCCTTCACCTCATAAAAACAATACCAGCGCTATCCAGACTTTAGAGTTCTAAGCTTGGAGCTCAATGTTCCATTCAGAATGCAAAGGAATGAATACATATGTATGCACATAGTTCTATCAAACAGTTTTAAATTCCTTTCGATTTTTTTACATTTGTGTTTGTAAATTAGTTGGGATGATCTCATCGTCGGTGCACCATATCACTATTCAAATGCTACTGATGGTGGGCATAGAAGACACGGAGCTGTGTTCATATTTTTAAATAGACAAAGCTATTTTTATACACCAATAGATGAAATCAGTGAACTGAAACTGTTTAGTTATGATTTTCCGGAGACTTTTCAATTACTCTTACCACCATCTCATAATTGTGGAAATTCACCGATTCCTGGTTTTGGAGCGACTATAACGAAACTTGGTGATATCAATCATGATGGCTTTCAAGGTATGTGTTTTTTTAACTATGCAAATAAATTTCAATGGAAAATGTATTGTAGATTGTTGTCACTTACTATTGTGAACAATTTTAGCTGTTATCAGTAGGGTGTGGGTTTTCTTTTCCTTCAAGTTCCCCAGTGGAACATAGGGCTTCAAGCTAGAGGCTTGCAGTTTCGGTAGCAGTGTTTATTATTTTTACAGGATGGGGTTGCTAGCCTCATGCCCAACCTTCCATCTTCACCAGCATTATTTCTGGCTTAGCGAGGTAAAGGAGTGCGTCGGTGGCCAGGGATCGAACCCCGGACCATGTGCATGGTCGGCGAGCGTCCTAACCGCTATGCCACCGAAGCGTGTGGTGTTTGTTTCCAAATATTTTTAATAAAAACGCTTAGTTTTGTTTGTATCTTAGGTTACTGGCGGTCTGATTAAAACTTGAACTACCGAAAACCTTCATCAGTATATTGCAGTTAAATTTCTTTTATTCAGTTTGTTTAAATCTAGTAAAATTTGACCTCTAATAGTATTATGTACTCTCGCAAGTATTTAAAATGTTCACAGTTTGCGGTTTCACAAGTTTCTACTTTAACATGAGGAAAAGCATTATCATTTATGGCAGCTTATCCCAGTACACGAGATGACCGTTCTTAAGTGGTATCCTTGGTTCACAAAATATACTCTTGAAATTTTTCCAACCGACATTCAGAAAAGTGTCGTCGTGTATTTCTCAAAGGAGAAAAAGAAGAGATATCGTAATGGTGGAGTGGTTTGCGCTACAGGTCAGACAGAGCTGTGTCACACAATCTACTGTCAATTAATCTTCTATTTGAAGATCCCGAATGAAGAGGAAATATCGTGCAGTAAACTGCGCTGAAAATTCTTTACAATATATAAGCATTGTTCAAAATAAAGAGATTATTATTATTTTTATTGGTTGGAGGATTTCGTCATGAGCTCACATCAATTAGAGAGCCATTAGGAAACCAACAGGGACTACTGGACATCTGTTTCGTCCTCTTCGCTTAGGACTCCATCAGTGCGGACCCACCGCCAGGGCTCGGACCCAGAACCATGCGGTTACAAAGTGAGTTCGTAGACCATTAAGCCACTGGGACTTAATCCAATAGGCCCGTGAATTCTAACTTCTGCCAATCCATGACATGGTGCGACCAGTTCGCAATATCTCCTCCAATGAGTTACTGCCTTACCTTCAACCTGCTATACCCTACTGGTCACGGCTTCCCACTAGAACCCCGGGAAACTGCCTGAATAGGACCAGTCACTAGTAAGCATCAGAGCATCGGGTCCCAGTGGCTTAACGGTCTACGAGCTAGCTCGCTTTGTAACCAGAAGTTCCTGGGCCCGAACCCCCGTGAGTGCGTACTGATGAAGAGTCCCAAACTGGGATGATGAAACAGATTTCAGCTTATGATGAAATCCTCCAACCAATCAAACAAAAATTCTCTACAAAACCAATACTTGAGTATTATTATTATGTGTAATGAAACATAGGCTTACAATTTACAATTTTAAGAGTCTGATCATTACTCATCATTTCAATGGCTTATCCAAAAAAAGATTACTGAACTCTTTCCTGCCGTATGGCTGCGAAACATAGTCACTTAGCATAAACTGCTTGTAATGCTTGGCGTTTCTTCGCAAATTTTGAAGCACTAAAAGTGGCTGACTTCACAGTTAGAAATATATATATCATTTAAATATTCCCATAATGATAATTATACAACACAACTTAAGCAAATGCGTTTCTTTTTTATTCCTTCTCGTTCTCAGTGGAACATAGGGCAGCTTCAAGCTAGAGGCTTGAAGTTTCTGTAACAGTGTTTATTATTTTTACAGGATAGGGTTGCCAGCCTCACGCCTAACCTTCTCTCTTTGCCAGTTCTATTACTGGCTTAGCGAGGTAAAGGAGTGCGCCTGTGGCAGGGGATCGAACCTCGGATTGTGTGCATGGTTGGTGAGCGTCCTAACCGCACAAGTAAATACGTATTTTCGGTAAATTCTCATCAGGCTTTATACAGTTACATAAACAAATGGTAATCATATTCACATTCAACACTATAGATGATGAAATAAGGAAAATAGAAAACTTATTTTATGAGAACGGGGACCCTGAAAAATTTGAAAATTCTCCATGAAGAAATCAGTGCAGAAAAAAAACGCAGATACTTGATTTTACCCAAGTGTTGGTTTGTAGGGATTTCATTGGTTACAGGATTTTCATCATGAGCTGACATTAGTTAGAGAACCATTGGAAAACCTGGGAGTACTGGACAGCTGTTTCGTCCTAGTTTGGGACTCTTCAGCAGTACGCACCCACCGGGATTCGAACCCAGGACCTTCTGGTTACAAGGCGAGCTCGTATACCATTAGGCCTCTGGGACCCGATCCAATGGCCAGCTCATGAATTCTAACTTCTGGCTATTCACGACATAGCGCGACCCCTAGCCTTCAACACTTGAATATCAATGAGATGCTCACTAGCGACTTGCCTTACTCAGGTAGGTAGTTACATGGGGTTCTAGTGAGAAGTTGTGAGCAGTAGGGTGCAGCTGGTCGAGTGTGAGGAGAAATACTCGCCGAAGATATTGGCTAGTGGTCGCGCTACGTCGTGAATTGGCAGAAGTTAGAATTCATGAGCTGGCCATTGGATCGGGTCCCAGTGGCTTAATGGTATACGAGCTCGCCTTGTAACTAGAAGTTCCTGGGTTCGAATCCCGGTGGGTGCGTACTGATGAGGAGTCCCAAATTAGGACGAAACAGCTGTCCAGTACTCCCAGGTTTTCCAATGGTTCTCTAACTAATGTCAGCTCATGATGAAAATCCTATAACATGACTTTACAGTTTAAAAGAGATGCAGCAACTGAATTACTGACATTGAAACTTCAAAAAATAATAACTAAAACATTCTTTGCCGCAACACTGTGTTCGAAATTCGCCACTCGATGTATAATTCCAATGCAGGTGAAGGATAAGCTGTTGAGTCTGGCCACTTCGACGACCATTTATAAATTTAACTATTCATGTGGAAACGACTACATAGGTAGAACGACTCAGCAAATCCACCGCTGACTTTTGGAGTAGTGTCCAACGTGATTAGGTAAAAGAGTCGTAAAGTAAATCAGAAGTTCAATACTGGCGCACACCTTATGGATCTACAGCACAAGGTTGACTAAAATTCAGCTTTTACAATTCTGTACAAGGCGCCACCTGAACCTCCCCCCTTAGTTTGGTACATCTTCAGTAGCTCAGCATAGCTAAGACAGTTACCATAATGATTTTTCAACCCAATTTCTGTGTTCAAAAAAAATTTGTTCAACAACCTTTCTCCCCACCCTCTTGGCCTTCACTCCCAACCTCAAATAGTTATCTCTCTTAGTGACACCGGATAACTAACAGTATTGTCGATATCATGCTGTGCTGTAGTTGTACATTTTATTCTCGATTTCACAATTAATTATTATTATTAATATAGATATATATACATTTGTTTATTCGTACTATTCATCTCTAATTATTTATTTTTGTCTGAAATATATAATAGACTTTGCAATCGGCGCCCCTTATGAAGAAAATGGTGGAGCAGTATACATTTATCATGGAAGTAAATCAGGAAAAATTCAAACACCAACACAAGTATGTTTCCCACCCCTTCTTTTATTTTGTCTTTAGTGTGTGTGTGTGCATTTTGTTGTGTTCATGGACGAACTAAACAGCATTTATTTTTTGTTTTGAAGATTTCTCCGACATAATCTTCACATACTCCCCTCCTTTTTCTATACCTCAAAATGTGAAATGGTGTTTTACTAAACGCCTCGAGGTTTTAAAGTCATTACCACAAAAAAATTTCCTATTTTCACCACATTTCAAAGGATACTAGAGTCACTAACGTTGGGGTACACCACTGGAAATTCAAAAACGAAAAAGTTATCGGAGGCATTTAACTTATTAAAACAAATTGTTTTCATGTTTCAATACTGAAGGATTTACTGAAACCTTGTGTTTACTTAGCGGTTTATTTATACACGGGAAGCACTCTGATGACATGATTTTCTTTTATTGTGTGCTTTAAGTTATATATATATATAGACTGAATTTGGTTGTTACCCTGTCTCCTTGTCCATAAATTGAAGTCAATTATTTCCAAAGTAGTTCAGTTCATGTTTGTCTGTCTGTCTGTCTGTTTGGATTCAACATAGAACTTCGCACCGAAGTGCAGCAGTTCCAGTTGCCACGTTCCGAATAGCATACAAAAGCAGACAAGAAGATGAGTGAAGAGAATCAATACAGTTTTGACAAGTATAAGAGTGAAACAGAATGAGTAATGGTAGAAAAGAATACGAAAGATTACAGAGACTGAATACATCTGCGTAAGCCATTGACAACGATTTTGAGCCATGTCACCTATTGTCTCCAGTCATTGATTCTTAGAGTCCCGAGGGTGGGCCCCAACCTGGAAGTCTGCATCTCCCTCCCTACCTGACTCAGTTTAACTGTCAGGGATTTCATGGATTGATGAGGCCATGTTTTTGTTTGGCCACCGCTTACTCTTTTCCAACCTGCACCTATATCAGCTGGTAATGCCCGTTCGTCGGGGGAGGCGATGGTTAGGCATGCGCAGCACGTGACCTAGCCATCTCAATCCATGTAACTTTATAGCCTCTTCGAGTGATTTTCCCTCTTTGCCCAACACTCTATGGTTAACGTCAACATTACTTACCTTATTATACCAGCTAACTTGAGAAAGATATCGTAGACATCTTTGATCAAAAACAGTCAACCTTTTCATGTCTTCAACTCGTATTGGCCATGTTTCAGAGCCATAGAGAAGGAAAGAGCGAACTGATGAGCAGTACACACGTCCCCTGGTTGATAGCCGGATGTCACGCCTACGCCAGAGACGGTGTAAGTTAGCGAAAGCAGCCCGAGCTTTTTGGATTCATGCTGAAATTTCGCCACCAATCAATCATGTTTGTCTAGCTAGTCAAGAAGGTTGTAGTTTTAAAGTGATTGGATTCTGTGAGTTGTTGATAATCACAGTGTTCCTCAAGGAGTTTTTCCTTCTCTTTTTCTGTTTTCTTTCATCTTGCATGACTTAGTTACTTCATTCTGACGAATTCAGTTTTGTTAAGTATGCCGATTATCTATCTGACTGTTTCTAATCCGGTGGTTACTTCACAGTTAAACTGTTTCAAAATGAATAAATTTTTTTAGTAGAAATTAGTTAGTGACCTTTGCTAAATGGTCTTAAACTTAATCCCTTTAAATGTCAGGTGGTTAGTCTCACTTTCAGACACCAGCGCGACTTAAATGAACTCACGGTTAGTTCTCACGGTTTCAATATGATAGATACTGAAGAATTTGAAACTAAATCGAGTGGTAAATACCCTGGACTGTTGTGTATTTCCTCTTATCTTTCCTGGTCTTTCCACACCATGCTAGTTGCCAAAAGATATTTCGTTTGACGATCTATGTGAGGAAATTAAGACGGTGTGGTATCATCTCGTCTCTACTGTTACAGTTTGTTAACTCTTTTATTCTACTTATGCTTCTTTACTGCTCCCTGCCGCTTAATCTTTCCCGCACTACTTAAAAACGACTTTTTTATACTGAAAAGTACAGCAAAAGTCATCAGTAGAACTATTGGGTTCTCGCCAAATCAACTCGTTAATACCGTTGTAGATAGACACATGGACTCATCCAAGAAATTAGCGAAAATTACCCCGTCAGACTCTGAACATCCTCTCTAAGCACAACTCTCTCCTTCCTGCATCTCATCGGGTAGAACTAGAAGCAACTATAGGAGATTGTATGCTCGGACGACTAAGTACAAAAATTCTGATATACCTTACTTGGCCGGGACACATTTTAATTGATGAGAAAGTTAGAAGACAGGAAATTACCAACTGTTTTACTGAGTAGCCCTTAGTTAACTGCCCTATTTTTTCACTATTATATTGTTGTTAATATTCTCTCTCAGTTTTATATTCATAATCTTATTGAAAAATGCTATGAATGTAAATGCCCTGTTTTAACTATTACCCTTGTAATGAGGAAGTTAGATGCAATCCTGCACTACATACTGAAAATTCCATAATTATGCTAAAAGCACTGTTTAGAATAAAGCTTATTATTATAATTGATGAGATGAGTATCTGACAAGTGATGAAACAGGTTGTATAGTGCTTCAGTCCGGCCACTTCACATGATTAACATGATTTGTGTAACCGGTTTTCTTTCAAGTGGTCCTTCCCACTTTGGAAACTGTTTGCCTGACCCTGTCGCACATTCGTAGGTATTTCGCCTCACACTCTCATATGCTGCTTTCTCCCGACCTCCTAGGAGCGCCCCAAGTAGCAGTCTCATCGCTGACAGATCTTGAACGCCACTCAACTGCGAAGAAGCCTCGAAGTCCTGCCCGAAGATCCGTACGTCTCCATGAAAAACTGCAGGGCATAGGCTTTCTATTTATCGGTAGGCAGCGACACCAAATGTAACAACAGAAGACAAGGGCCGGGCAACAGATCGTTTATTAAGAAAAATCAACACATATTTATAGATTTTAATGTACATTATTGTAGATTATTGTTAGTAGAAAATACAGTCTTTTGATTGGTTGTTTCTCACAGAAAGTTAACCTTGCATCTCTTTGTGGCTGTGTCAGTTCATCTATATGCTAACTGTATCCGCCTACACAAAGCCTTTGTTCTCATTTTCCCACCACCAATATTGGGGACATATAAACATTGACGTCAATTACTGTTTACCAACTTTGGCTAGCAGCCAGCTCTCACCACAGTATTACTACTATTATTGTTATTATTTCCTCAGGTTCCTAGTGGAACCTGCCTTCAACAACACATCTCCATTTCATTGTGTTTTCCTTTGATTAGACACGAGGTAGTAAATAATATCATGTGTATAGTCCGTTGCTTGGTAGAGACTGAAATCTACCAGCCACCATGCGAGGAGGTGACTAAGCGCACTCTGATTTTTGTTGTTGTTATGAGATGGCTGAAGACAATTGGAAAGAAAACCTTTGACCTGGGTTTTGGGCTTGTTGTCGTCAAGGCGTATCTGCAGTCTTCAAGATCAATTGTAAACCTGAGTAACTCAGTGGTAGCGTCTCTGACTGCAACACTGAGTGATATGGGTTTGAATTTCTGAAGGGGCATAGGTTCCTTGAGGATTGTAGATACGCCTTGCTGAATTGTAGGCGACAAAAAGCACCTCACCTATGTTGTTGTGAAGGCTTCTTTCATATAGCCTCAAACAATACAACAAGAAGTTGTGTTTACTTCTATACAGGGACAAGAAAATTTTAATAATCACATAGTTAATGCTGAGTGGTAAGAATTTACATAAAGATAACTAATAATCAAAGGACAATGGAGATATTACTCATAAATGGCTATATAGAAGTGATATTTGACTGGTGGACTGTTATGCTAACAATCTGTTGCAGTACAGTACTTGTTTTGCTTTAGTTTGAAACCATTTTCAGAGGTACGCACCTTCGGCACCACCTAATACCTTACCTTCAGCTTACGAGAGAAATTATTTTATCATTCAGCCATTGTGTTGAAATCTTATGATCCATGTGTGTTCCAACTTCTTTCACAGTTCATAATTTATACTACCACTGTTATTCGCTATCCATTTGTTAGGGTACACCTATCGTAATTTCCAGTTTGACCACGGATTGATGTCAGTTAGAGTGATATCAAAAAACAGCAGAGACTACGCGATATCAGTTTCGTCCTAGTTTGGGCCACTTATCTTCCCATTGGTCGTAAATATCCTATTAGAATTTCACAGGATTATTATTATTATTGTTCCCTTGGGTTCCTAGTGGAACATAGGGCTTCAACTGCACGTCTCCACTTGCTTCTGTCTTCTGCTGTACTTTTCACTTGCATCCATGTTAATCCATACTGTTTCAGTTCCTCATCACACGATCTACTTCATCTCACCCTTGCACCGACGAACCACTCGCCGCTTCCCTTTCGGGTTCCACTCGAGCGTTGGCCTGACGCGTGATGTCACCCAGCGGCCTCCTCAGCGAGTGTCCAATCCATCTCCACTTTTTCCTGCATATTTGTTGGGCGATTGGTTCCTGTTTTGTTTGTTCCCATAGCTTCTTGTTGGTTTTTGTTCTTTCCGGCCATCTGATCTTCAGTATAGAGCCAGCGAAGACAGTTGTTGATAAAGGTCACCCTGCAAAAGGCTGTTGGAAATATTCTTTGTGACTCGCCAAGTTTCTGATCCATCCGTATAGAATAACTGACTTACTTGACGTTTGTATTGGCAATCCGAATTTTGTTGTTGAGTGTTGCTGAGTGACGAAGATTTCCAGATTGGTTGTTTCAGGTTGATGAATGTGTTTCTCGCCTTCCCGATTCTCGATTTGACATCCTTGTCGTCCGTTCCTGCTGTAGTTGAGACAATGTTCCCTAGATAATTGAAGTGAATGAAGTAACCTCTTTCAAATCCCTCCCGTTGATGGTGATTGGCGGTGGGTGTTGCTGGTGTTGTTGTTGTTGTTGGTTAGTTATTTCCATAATCTCTGTTTTGTCTATGTTCACCTGGAGTCCTGTCTTTGTTGCTTCTTCGACCAGTTTGTCGGTTTTCGCTTGTAAGTCTTCGATTTTGTGTGACATCAAACATAAGTCATCCACGCGCAAAATCCAGGTCTTCTAGGTTCTTCACGTCAGTCCAGGATATCCCTGTCTTCTCGTTTCCCACTGTCTGACGCATAATCCAGTCCACCACAATTAAGAATATCAATTTCACACTGCTTTTAAGAGCCCAAAACTATTTCTTCATATTCTAACTTATACCGGTTCGTAAGGAGATATATATATACTGCAATCACTTGATCATGCATTGTCAAAAACTGTCTTAAAAATAGCCTCTTGTGTTAACTTCAGAAGACTGAATGTTTCTTGGTTGTCATGGTGGTTGATCAGTGTTAAATCTATAATGAGTTAAATGTGTTACATCTTCTCAGATCACAGAGTAAGACGATAAAATGCATTTATTTTACTACAGCTTTACTGCTAGGATCATACATTAATGTTTTCTTTAAAAATAGTATTACCTTTTAGTCGACAACCGAAAACTTTGAAGAGGTAATTAGTAGTGACCTTTTTCTGACTGAGTGAGTTTCAACTTGGAATTATGCCTAAAAATACACCAGTTCAAGTTGCCACATTTTTCTCTGTATAGCACCGAAAATTAAACAGAAGAGAGCAAAAAGAGACTCAAAAATACTATAATAAACAGAAATCTAAGTCAGAAAGACTAATAACGTAGGAAGGCACTTGACACTTCAATAGAAATGAGAGATCACAAAAAACGTGAATGTATCCATGTCCTTGAGAATGGTTTTGAGTCCTGTGTCCAACAAATCTCTAACCATTGGTTCTTAGTATCCTGACCAAAAGTTGCTACCTTGACGTGGTAGTCAGGCTTGCATATCTCACTAACACAGTGAGGTACACTGGCGTTGTTGTTACTAATGTTCCTGCAGATCCGACTATGGATAGCTGTCAAACTAAAGGTTATTACCGGTATAATGCAAGTTGTCTACACTCATCTGGGGATCTCTGGACAGGGATTTGGCAACAGTTAGGTGTTCGTCTAAGATGACCATCATGCCCCACCTATGCTGTCTATCCTATCCTATCCTCTGTAGAGAGACGGACTGGAATAGATCGACTTTGAAAATTATACATCCTGACTTATCACCTTATGGCAGTCCTGTAGCCAGTGGTCAGATCTTAATATGGACACAACTCCAAAATCCAATTCAAACAGTCTGTGTGTGACTGATCTTGAGCAGTTATCCGTTGATCTCTGCGATCACTCAACACTGAAATTCTTTCTGTTTCAGGTACTCGAACAAGTGACTTCATCACTTGTTTTCTATTAACTATTTAACGTTCTGTTTGCCTACATTCAAGTTTCTTTTTGTACCTCCCGCCTTCTTTTGTTTGTATTAGTTTGGCGTAGTAAAACAGAAAAGCTCCTCACTTCAGATACACAACATATATCATATATTGTTATAGTTTGAATAATTTAATTATGCAGTTATATTCAATAAAAAGCAAGGTAATTTAATACTATGAGAGTAAATCAGGTAAAATTAATTGATGTATATCGAACACACGCTAGTTTAAGAGTTGGTTAGTAAAGTGAATCTAATATAACGCTCATATACTAAAACAATAACAGCAATCTTATACATTGGAATCAAGATTATTTAGGCATAGTTAAATGTGAAAAGTGAAGTAGCATTCCATTTTCCCAAGATCATGTTTTGTATGAAGTATGCCCATCTGACATTTTATGTTTTGTTTTTTTAATGTTGCCAAAATTATTTAATTAGGTCAATCTTGTAGCCTGTTTTTTTTATAATTAAGCGTTTTATAGTGGATAAAAGAGAAAGTGTAGATTATCTTTTCCCCCGATAGTGTAGAAAGACTTTGAAATGAAATTATGCACAAATCATCTTCATTCAAGGTGGAATATTCTGATTATTCGACATCATGCTTAAGTTTTGATAAAGCTAAGTAGACTAGAAGACTGATTATCGAATAAATAATACTCCTTCAAGGTTGCAAATACGCCTTGCTGGCTGGTGAGTGCCGACTGGCACGAAACCTAGGTCCAAGGCTTCCTACCGATGCCTCCAACTATCTATCTCTTTGCAAGACCTCATTGTGAGCTGACATGGTGTGGAGAACCACTAGAAAAACAGCAGGGAGTACTGCACAGCAGTTTCGTCACAGTTTGGGACTCTTCAGTAGTACCCACACACTGCTAGAGTTTGAACCCAGGACCTCCTGGTCACAAGGCGAGCTCATAGACCATTAAGCCAGTGGAACTCGATCGAATAGCGCATGAATTCTAAATTCTGTCGATTCACGATATAGTGGGACTACTAGCAAATGTCATCTGTGGAGAGTATTTGTCTTCACACCCGATCTGCTGAACTCCACTGACCACGACTCAGGTAACTACCTGAGTGAATGGAGCGAGTCATTAATGAGCATCAGATTAATATTCAATCTTTGGTTTGCAGGGATTTGATTAACTAGAAGATCTCATCATGAGTTGACATTGGTGGGGTACAGCAGGTTAGGTGTGTAGAAAAATACTCACCGGTGACAATGGCTAGTGGTCCCACTATATCGTGAATTGACAGAAGCTGGAATTCATTGGCTATTCGATCGAGCCCCACTGGCTTAATGGTCTATGAGCTCGCCTTGTGACTAGGAGGTCCTGGGTTTGAACCCTAGTGGTGTGTGAGTACTACTGAAGAGTCCCAAACTGTGACGAAACTGCTGTGCAGTACTCCCTGTTGGCTTTTTTATGGTGCTCTAACTGATATCAGCTCATGATGAAATCCTGTAGCTAATCAAATCCGTGGAAACTAACACTTCTCTTCGATAACTTCTTCATCAGGTTCTACAACCATATACGTATATAATAATGAAAGAATTATTATTAAATAAGAACATTAATGATTTTCTTAATAACACTGAATCAGTAATTTCAATAGATTACAGTTCAAAGTCATGTACAAGTGATAATGTACATCAGTATTCTGCTAAACGCAATATCAGATAAATTAAGAAAAATAATACAGCCGGCCAGAGTAGTAATAATGCCTGGATCTTCGACTGTTTCAAGCGAATTGCAGTTAACCTGTGCTGTTTGGAATGCTGGGTATTTAGAAATCTTTGTCAATGTATTCGATATTCGACAGGTGATAAGGAAAGACTATTCAATGCCCTAGCCTTAAATATGGCTTGTTTAAACGAGGTGATCTACCACAGAACTGTTGATGGCCACACTGGTAGGTGTTGCTGAGCATGAAAAATTAAATTTCTAGAGAAACGGTCAATATAACTGTCTCCAGTAGAGCAGTTGATAAAATTATAGGTCCAATAAAAATGGTTTCATCTAGGTACTTTGTCTTTCAGTTTCAGAATCAAAACCTGTCTTGTGGTAAGTGTTAAATGTAGTTTCTTAGCATTACAAGACCTTTGAATCAATCTACTCAACGTTTTGGTAACTATTTCGATCGATACACCAGCTTTAAACTGCAGTCGTATAAATAAAAGGTGTTTCCCTACCTTTTCGGCCATGTGTTTTGTGATAACAACTGATTATAGGAAAACGACATCAAAACAAAGTGCATTCCACATCTTCATGTTAGCACTTTGTATTTTCATAATAAAATTATCATAACAGTGATTTTTTAAAAATTATTAACATTGAAATATTTACTGAGACTTTTGTAGTTAGAATTGTTTAACTGTGCTGAAACGAAATTCTTGGTATCTGTTGACATATATAGGCACGTAGTACGAATGCCTTGATGATGCTTTGAAGTCAACATAACGCTATGTGACTGATATAATGCAGACAGTTTGTAGCTCAGCTGGATGATTTTAAATTGGTTGTGTTCTCTGAGCTGGCTGATGCAATTGAGAAGCTTTCGTCGTCCTTCGAGACAACATCTTCAGCGCATGTTTTAGTATGGCATGAATTTATTTGAATTCGCCATGAATGATGATATAATTGTATCTCCTGACGACCTCTTTTGTCGTGATTGGTTGTTAATTTACATCTCTGTTGATCATTTCTATTGACTGACTTGGAATTTGGACTTTCTTGTCATGTGATTGATTTACTTTTTATTAGCTGGTGGTAAATTTGGTCTATACTAATGTGTTTGTTAATTGCTGACTGATTCATCTGAGTACCAGGCTTCTAGGAATTCTCTGGCAGTATTTTTGGTGTTTCCTCTATTTAAAATTTCTACATTATCCCGATCATATATAACTGGTATCCATAATTATCTACATACATTGAAATGAAAGAAAGACCATTTGAAATAGATATAGTACACAAGCCAGCCAGCACAATCACTTCATTCAACATTGTGCAAACTGGAAAGTCTAAAAAAAAAAGATAAAATGGATACCATTTACAAAATAAACTGTATGGACTGTAAAAGACATAACATTGGTCAAAGTGGACGTCCCTTTCGAATCCGATTCCAAGAACACAAATTAGTTGTGAAAAAGGCATGATATATATATATATATATTCTGTCATATCAATGCATGTGGATAATTACAAACATCAATTTGATTGGTGTCAAGTCAATTAAAAAGGATCAACAGAGATGTAAATTACCAACCAATCATGACAAACGAGGTTGTCGGGACATACAATTATATCATCATTCATGGCGAATTCAAATAAATTCATGCCATACTAAAACATGCGCTGAAGATGTTGTCTAGAAGGATGACGAAAGCCTCTCAATTGCATCAGCCAGCTCAGAGAACACAACTAATTCATATTACGTGATTGATAATTAGTGCGGCTAACAGCAGAACTCAGGCTGCATGTTTCGTCCTGTTCGCGACTCGTCAGATAGGTGGTAACACCAACGATTTATAGACTATTAATTTGTTTTGCTATGCATTTTGCTCACCACTCCAGGACAACGATAAAACGCTGTTCTTTACTTTACCGTAGTCAGTTGCCCTTAGGTTCAAATACTCTCACATTCACTTCAATCTTGACCGAATGAGTAGTAGTATTAATAAGTCACAGAATAATAAGTGTGACTCATAGCCTAGTACAAGTAAAATGCGCTTAAGATACCACCTGTTGTTTTGAGGAAGTGAGACCTGTACTGTGATCTCCGTTAGCTGAAATCAATCAGTCTAGTATTAACCAACAAATCGTAAACAATAAATCGTATGTATTAGCTGATACATGGCCAATACGAGTTGAAGACATGAAAAGGTTGACTGTTTCTGATCATAGATGTCTACGATCTCTTTCTCACGTTAGGTGGCATAATAAGGTAAGTAATGTCGACGTTAGACGTAGAGTGTTGGGCAAAGAGGGAAAATCAATCGAAGAGGCTATAAAGTTACATAGATTGAGATGGCTAGGTCACGTGCTGCGCATGCCTAACCATCGCCTCCCCCGACGAACGGGCATTACCAGCTGATATAGGTGCAGGTTGGAAAAGAGTAAGCGGTGGCCAAACAAAAACATGGCCTCATCAATCCATGAAATCCTTGACAGTTAAACTGAG